AACAATCGGATTTATATTTGTTGGTTTGATTGTGAAATGATGAAAGTTGTTGTTTGGTTTTTGTAGTGAGAAGACATGAATTGGTCTTGTTCTTGATGTTTGGATGGATTATTCTGTTTTAGAAATATACACTTCTTAGGTGAATTTCTGTGTTCTTGTTGATGAATTTGATGACTCGGTAGTCAAATATGTTATATTTCTTGAATTTTTGTGACAATCTCGCAAATGAGAGACGGACATATAAAATAGTTATCAGTAAATTATGAATCCTGAAAATTTTTCCAAATTTGAATTTTCTAATGCCATAAAGGTAATTACTTATATTTATGTAAGACAATTGAAAAAAAATGGAGAGAGTCCAAGGATGAACAGTTCTGGAGGTGGTTGTTTGATGAACATACGGAATGTCAGTTTGTGTTAGGATTGACAATTTGAATTAATCTAGGAATCACTGTTTTTTTTCTTCAGTATGAGTATATAGCACATGGTCATGAACAGTAGGGGATAAAGTGAGTTTACATGATGCAGGAAGAGTTCCTTGGTGGAGTGAAAGCAAGGTGAAGAAACAAGAATCGGGCTGAACTAGGATTCTATATAATGAAATGAAGACCTGAGAAGTAACATTTTTTGAAATGATGTTGCAACTTGGATATGTAGCACTAAGTGGAATTATAGAGGCGACATTGAGCTCTGGGGGTTATTTAGAGTTCTAATAAAAAATGTGGTTCTTTATGGTTTCTATACTGTAACTAGGAAATATGAGAGTGAAGAAGGTATAAGGAAAGTTACAAGTTATACTGTATGTGTAACCCAAAAAAGGTAGTAGTGGAATCTCGTCTTGAAAGCTATAGATCACACTGTCCCGAATTCAATTAGGCACGCTGTGCTAGTTACACAATAGCGAAACTACAATGACAATTATGAAAGCTGTAATGTGGAACTGTAGAATTGGCATATTTTTGTTAACAGAGGTGTAGGTTTTTCAGGTTCTTATATATTTTTGTTAATCGAAAAATTGGGAAGCTGCAGTTTGTTGAGTTTTTAGGTTTTTGTTCTGTTTTTTGGGTTGTAGAGTGCTTGTGGTTGTACTACAACCTTTAGGATGTGTTTTGGTAATTCTATCTAGCAGGTGGAATTCTTATCAGCACCTTTACTTTATTTTTATTTTTTTTGTTTTTTAATATTCGAACTAAGTATTTCAATCTGCAGCATGCTTTGTTAATATTGGTTCAAACGACTGGTGTTTTAATTTTCTGAGTACATCTCTATTATTTGTAATAATGAAGTTTCAACCTAATCCTCAAACACCAACAAGCACTTAAGCACTATAGTTCTATTAGATACTAGTAAATCCTAACCGACTTGTTTAATTTGTTAGATGACTTCAGACTAACCCGATTTATTCATTAATCATGTCTTGTTTGTATCACACATGAACTAGAAACTTAAGACTAGAATCCCGCATTTCCAAATCAAATATACCACTCATACACCCCTCGCGCAATAAAAATCCAAATCATTGAGTGCTAAAAAACTAAGAAAAGGATTCAAACAATAACATATGAAGAAGCCAAAAAAAGAAAGGATTTTTTTTCATAAAATCTATTTAAATTAGTTTGTCATGTTAAAATTTGGTTATTTGTGTTTGCCATTGACCTAAAATGCTTATTATTTATGTTAGAAGGTTGTGCTCTTCATGAATTTGTGTCAAGTAATGGTCATTTCCTAACTTGCTACGTTAGTTTTGGATTTGAGTTGTGCTATGATGTTGTTTTGAAAATTTTCACCCCTGAACATTTGGAATCATTTGGATGAAATGATATAGTAGAAAGCATTTGAATTTGACAAACAAGCTAGATTAGTTAGAAAAACACCAGACACAATGTGTTTAAACAGCTAGATATAATGTATATGGAATGGATTTAGAATAACTATACAATTATGTGCTGTTAGTAGTCCAGCACAAGTTTGTTAACCATATGCTATTAGCTATTTCCTTCTATTCAAAGTCACTCTTCCAAATGGACCCTTAGTGTTTGATTGCAGACATCAAGAATTTAAGCAGGGTAGATTGTGATATTGCACCAATGATGAGCACGCCCTTAGTTCTTAACACAACCAATTCAATGTTTAATTATAACACCCCACAAACTCTTTCTGTTTCTTTCAGAACAAAAGAATTTGAACCCTCTTTCTTCTTCTCTTGTTGAGATTTTCATTCAGACTCAGCAAACACCTTACTACTTTTAGCTTCTCTAGTACCATCATAATTTAACTCAAACCTTAAATATAAGCACTCTCGTAGCCTTCTTCCTCTTCTCAACAATCCTAATGTCTTCCTTATTGGGAGTTTCTTTAATTAGTATCAGCGTTATGTTCATTTCATTCAAAGTCTTTTTATGCTCTCCCATTTTTCTTCACTAAGCAAAAATCGCTCACCACCCTTAATTCCACTTCATCATGATTTATATACCCCACAAATGGTCTTGACATGCCACTCTTCTCAATTCCTCAACAGGAATAATAATTCCCAAGTTGGCAGAGCACGGATTGTTTCCCTTAGCTCTGTTATTTAATCTCTTGGATGGTAGACAACAAAAGGGAAGACAGATAACTGGAGACTACTAGACGCAACCCCCTTTCCTTGTGTGTTTAAGTACAAAAAACCTGCCTTTTCCCTGTTAGACCCATTATCGGATGAATTTCAATGTGGTTATCCACCCTGAAATTATCAGGGGGGTGGCCACATTTAGGGATTCCTGATTATTACCCCCACAGTAGACTCTTCCACACCATATCAGAAAAATTCACTTCTATTCACTAGGTATACACCATCAACCAAAGCAACTGCATCATCATTATCAGATAAACAACCTTCTAAGACATCCATGAATACGCCTCTAACATTGCAAGCACCATCATCAAACTGATTCTTCAACTCAAGAGTTTCAAAGCCATATTTTACCTGCACTGATCCTTCAATTCAGTCTTCTTTCATAATTAAAGTTTCTCTTAAAAAAGGGTCACTCTGTCTGATGCAAAAGAAGCAAACACACTGTTGATAGTAAGGCTTCATGGTATGATTATTAAATGTTGAGATCCTAGGAATCAACCTCCACTTTGATGGCTAAGTTCAAGGTTTTCATCGGTTCTCCCATGCACCTGAGCTTGTGGCAATGTTTGCAATGTTTCAGCTTAACTCCTAACTTTAACAGTAAGTGTATGCAGAGCAAGAGAAGGAAGTTCCTCTACCAAGTCGCTTTTGTATAGCCACATGAGATTATAACACACTTTCACCTCATATCTCATTATTTTGTTGCTGTAAGGTAAAGTCTAGGATGTTGAAAGAACAGTAATGACTTCAGACTAATGAAATAATCAAAATGCATCAGAAGTTTCCAAAAGGTGACTGGAGGGATGACAAATGATGGATGCTTATTTACACGGGTCACTGAGACGGAATCTAATTCTTGTACAATGTGTTAAAATGCCAGAAGCTTTGAGAATTATGATTTCCCGACCAGTGTACATTAATCATCATGCGATGTCTGATTGTCTCTCTATCTCTCATATGTACACAATCTCAAGTAGTGATATGCAACTAAGCTGACAGAATCATCTGTTATTACTTTCAGTGATCTTTTAAATCCGTTTATATCAACTTCTCAATGAAAGTATTTAAATATTGTTCTTGTCATGTCTCATGCTAATGTTTAATTTTAGTTTGTTCTTTCAGCTTGCAAACATAATATGGGGTGAGGCAGGTGAGAATGATGATCATATTGTGCCTTATCCTGAGGCAAGTGATGATTATTGCAACAAGAAGGAATGGAGTCAAGAATCTCATACCATCAAGCCTACTGAACAGAAGACCCCTGGGCCCAAAATTGACTTGCATAGCAGTTCCAACTTTGACATCATTGAAGGAATTTCAACCTCTGAATTTGGAACGGACTCGTGGCCTGATTTATCTTTATCCGATGTTGCCAAAACTGAACAGCATTGCATAGGTACTGAAGCACCTGACAATTTTACTGAAATTATCAACAGTGGTTAATCAATGGTTTCTTTTGGGCATAAAACAAGCATTTTTGTTTTAGGTAAGATATTGGATAAACCAAGCATTGACACACACTTACACACAGTGACATGCAAAAGGAATTGGTACCCCAGTGTCGGTTAACCTGACTTCATTTCCTGTTGACAATGGAGATCAATTGTGCTATGTCTTATTTACTCCAATTGAAAGTTTACTCTTTACATCTCAGCTCCATTTCCTTACCCATCCTTCTATTCTTTCCTGGGACCTGAGCTGTATCGTTTGTTATATGCGTAGTCTATCTTTGAGTTAATTCTTGGTCCTTCCTGGGACAAAGAAAACACAAAACTGTCTTTTTTTTTTGTTTGCTCGTTAGAGTAATTAGACTTTTTCTTCAGGTGTGGTTCACTTGTTAAATCAACTGAAAATTTGAAATACTCAAACCACCCGAAGATATCAGGATTAGTGATTGTGTGGCACAGTTGTTTAATCTGAGATTTTGATGAGTAGATGGGGGCATGATGTTGGTAGCATATATGCTTTAAACAATCATTATGGTGATTTCATTGTCATCAATTGTATAATGGAGTGCTCTATTGTTGGAAAAACAGGAAGATATGGGTAAGGCTTTTTAAGGTTTGTCATTTCCATTAGTTTCTTTCAACTTGCAAGCTCAAGAAGATGGAGTTTCAGAAGGCAAAAACATTTTGACAATTTGAGGAATTTTTGTCAGTACATAAATGGCAAGGAAGGTAAATAACACCAATTTGATGTGATAAGCTAATCACTATAACTTGTGGTTGGCTATGCAATGAAACATGCATGAATTTCTATATTTCTATGGGGGAAGTGAGCAGAAGTGTTAAGTGTTTTGACAGGTGTATTAGGGAGGGAGAGCTGTTTGCTGTAGATTTTACACGAAACTCAATTTACTTGGTCTGATTTTAGGGACAGGTTGGTTTCTAAGTTGGACAGATTCCTTTTGACACTTGATTGGGAGGAGGCCTACCTGGATGGTAGACAAGAACCCTTAGTTATGTCACTGTTGAACCATTTTCCTGTTCTGTTGGATACAAGGGGTTGGGTACCTTTTAGATATTAGTGGCTGCAACATAAGTCTTTCAATGGTAGTTTTGAAAGATGGTGGCTGGAGTGTTCAGTGCAGGGCTAGGCAGGTTTCAGGTTTCTGAAGAAACTGGAATGAGTTTAACAAAAGCTGAAAGTGTGGAATAAGGAGCTTTCTGGGATTTGAGAGTTGAATAAAAATTTTGAGCAGGAATAAGGAGATTGATTTGTTGGACAAGGAGTGAGTCTTAAGTGCAGAATTGATCAAGGAGAGGAGTGATCTTAGAAATAAGTTGGGTGAGGTGATGTTGAGGAACATTTTTCTCGGAGGCAAAAAACGAAAGTGAAATGGCTAAGGGAGTGGGATGATAAATTGTTTTACAAATTGTGCCGGCGAGCTGTGTTTCCACTTGTTTCCTAGTTTATATTGGATTTCTTTGAACTGCAACACAGTGATCTCTTAAGTTTCTTCTTGGATTGGCATCATTTCTTGGGATAGGTTCGGAGTAATTTTGAGTGAGTAAGAGTTCGAAGAACATTTGGAATTGTCTTTTTGTCTTGCCAGTATCTCCTTGCATCCAAATCATGTCCATAAAATCTAATGGTCTGTTCTTTCCTCTGGTAATTTTCCCTTCATGTAGCCAACACTCAATGAAATCTTCCCTTTGAGCCCTTTAAGTTGATTTGGAAGGTTGGTGTTCTAACTAATGTGGAAATTGTATATGGGGCTGGTGATCCGTGGGAAAATAAATGTGTGTCACTTGCTCCAAGAAGAAGGCCTTATGTATGCTTGTAACCACCTTGGTCTCTGTCGTGTAAAAAGGAGGCGGAGGATGCTGACCAAATTTGTATACATCTTCATTTCACTAGGCGGATTTGGGCTTGCATGTTGATGGTGTTTGGGTGACTTGTGCATGTATCCAAGGAACTGATTTCGTTGTCGTCGGAGGGTCATTGGGCAGAGAGGGGCTAGGAAAATGGTGCTCACTCTGGAGATGTGCTGATTTTTCTCTTATGTGGAATGTTTGGCCGGAAGAGAAAAGCACACTCTTTAAGGGAAAAGAGGAGGATGTGGAGTTACTTTGGGATATGATATATTTTTAGTTTCTCAATGATCTTCATTGTCAAAAAATTTTAAAGGCCCTATTAATGTAGTTCTTCTTTCTTTGTTTTTTTTTTTTTT